CACAAGAAAAATAAGTTTAGAGAGGAAGACAAGACRGGCAAATGGAAAATCAAGTAAAATATGAAAACTTGATGGATGCAAAGGATAAAGAAAGCAATGGTTTGTGTATGTGTGGATGAATAWGATACATCTGTGCATTATGTGATGACATCATGAGCCTTTGGGAAACAAGATTAAGTGCATACTTTCTATCTTACACGACTAAGATTTATGTGTGGTTTCATTACAGTTTTWGGTTGATCAGATTTATTTATGACCATCTGGCTCTTTATCAATTAAAAAAAGTATATACAGTATAAAGAAAATTATTTGTTAGTTTTGGTCAAAGCCACTGAAATGGGACTGAAGAGCCACATGTGGACCCCAGAGCAGCAGGTTGGAAACTCATGCTTTAGGACAACACTTTCCATGACACTAACTTTGTTTCAGAATTTCTCAATTCTCTCAAAAGCCAATTTATCAAAAATTATCTGCAGGGATTGTGCAAATCTTATTCTGCACATGGAAAATTAACACCAAATACACAAATATGGCTCCACAGCACGAACCTAAAATAGTCTTAATTACTTTTTAGGACCTGAAGAGAAGGTACAAGCTGGGCATTTCCAGAACACATCAATATTATATATATATATGAACTGTCACAAGGACCATAGCTTGAAAGTGCACTGAAAGTCTTGTAAAAGCAGGAGATAGTCCACATTATGCCTGCAGTTGTATAAAAATGTTGGAAGCTAACATTATTTCAGGCCTAAAAATTCWTCTGACTTTTGGGAATTCTTTGTTTCAGCAAATTCTCATTCGATGTTTTGTAGCGGGGGTGTTGATGCAAAAAGGTCAGTCGGATTCCTGACCTGCAAGTTTCCTCATTTTTTTCCCTTTGGATAGTGATTTCATTTTTGTAACTTTTATTTAGGACTCGGYCCTGTTTTTATTTGATAATAACATTTGATTTGTCAGAACTTGATTAATTATTTCTTGAACGTGGTAGAATCTTTCCAGCTAAGGTCAGTTAATTGTATAGAGTAACTCAACATGTTTGTGCGTCTTTCCACTAATGTTAACTTAGCAGGTTTAAAAATAATCCCAAATATGACAATAAACATGGTGTGCAAACAGAACTTTGCCCACAGAGTTAACATAACAACCTTCTCTGATAAAACAAGACAAGGTAAGGGAATTACACAAAAGGGCAGACATGAGGGAAGATTAGATTTTGCAAAATCTCATTAGATGTGATCAAATATAAGTTAAGCATACAGACTGTAATGGGTTGCATGAAAACTCATAAAAAAGTGCATTACCCATATATTGTCCTAGCATTTTCTCTTTACTCAAAGTCAGTATTTACTTTTATTATTTGTACTTTGACTGACGCGTTGTGTTTAGGGGAATGACAGGCCCTGCAGTCAGCAACTGAACTCAGCACAATAACAAAAAAAAAAAAAACTCACACCTACACACAAACCTGCATATACCCTTCTCCTTAGGTTAGCAGAAGACTACAGTAATTGTATTTGCCAGGTTCTTGGCTGGATCAGTCATCTGATCCTGGGTCAAAAGGGTGTCTCTCTGTGTGTAAATGTGTATGGATGTTTGAAAAGTCAATAATGTAAGCTGCAGACGGGGCCCATGGTCGCCAATGGGCAACATGAAAAAGAACCAAAAGATGGAGACCCTAACCTCAAAGAATTAGAGTTAGTGTAACAAAAAAGGGCAGACAGACAGAAGAAGAAAGACGGGGGGAGAGACTGAAACAAAGTAAGGAGGAGAGAGAGAGAGAGACATATGAAAAAATCAATGCACTGTCCACAAGGGACAGAATGTCATGAAGGTTTTTTACCCTGGTATAATGGAGGGTTGGAGCCTTTTACTGCAGGAGTCACCTTGTCTAATGGAGGGACAAATGGAGGTGTTGGGGGGGATGCGTAAAGCAGGAATATCATTGAGATAAAGATGTTTTTTTCAGTAGACGATAGTTGAAAAGAATTGGGGGAAAAAATGAGGAGCGATCCTGATATGTGAGGCAGAAGGAAGCAGACAACCGATTCTGACTGAAAGACAGAATAAAAGAAAAGAACATAAAAAACATTWAATTAAGACAAAGAATACAAATGATGGGAGAATAATGTGTTGATATAAAAGAAAAGCCAAACATCCTGTAATGTATCTTCATGAAAAAGTGCACACAAAAAAAAGACAAATCCAAATTGATTGGCTAAAAATGAGAGAAGACTTGACCAAGAAATTTTCTAAATAAATGTAAGCGGGCATAAGAAAGGAGACGTATTAACCTTGCGGGTCAAAGCTATTTAGTGCAAAAGCTTTTAATTGGTGCAAGACAGATTTACCATTTAGTTTGATTAATATGACTAAGCAGAAAGTGAAGAGCCATATTAAAGCAGTAAATCYRGTGTTAAAAGGTACAATTAAACTGCAGGATTTTAGAGTGGAGTATATTACACAGCATCAAGAAATCTTGAAATTGCCKATGTAGCTGAGTGGTAAAAATAAACTTGAGAAATCTATAATAGATGATGAGAGTCCAAGCATTTATAAAATATCCTCTAAATAAATGCTGCATGGTGCACCTGAGGCGGATGGTTGGAAAGCTCAAAATCTTCTGACTCAGTTGAGAAAATCCTTTTTACAACAATGTGACCACAGCAGACATAGTCAACAAAAACGAAAGCAACAATTTATCATAACATAAACAGTTTTATTTATTGACAAAGGCATCAATTCAACTCAACGCAAGTTCTGCTTCTGAAAAAATGTAGTCAATTCACTCCAAGTCTTCCGTGAGAAGTTGTTTTAGGTGTTTACACACAAATATATATATTTTTCTTACTTAAGGGGTTAATAGAAACAAAAAGCTGGCCGACTCAGCGAACTTATCCTGAATACAAATGCACAGCTCACGGACATTAATACAAAATGTATGGGACCATCAGGTCAGAGCTGAAATGTGATAAGCTCTGCAGCTGTTTACTTTCTGGCACTGAGCGTCGAACGGTTGTAAAAAGTGAGCGAGTCGAAGGTCAAAGAAGTAAGGTGGTGCAAAACAKTTCGTTTGGATTGAGTCCTGCAGCAGAGGCGAGAGTGGATTAGATGATCAGAGGCCAAACTCAACTCAAAGCTTTGGAGCGTCTTACTTGCACAAAAAACAATCACTCACACACGCAGCGCATACACACACACTTTCAGGATGATTTAACTTAAGAGGAATAATCTCCTGTATTTTTAGACGGCTATATTGAATTTACATTACTCTCAGGACTTGTATTTAAGTAGAAAAAACTCATTTGTCTGTAACTAAACTAAGAATTATGATTTGTTCCAGGATGTAAATTAATCAATTCACAAATTGTTCAAACAAAAAGAAAGAAACACAATTAGTGTTTCAGTAGGATACACAAGTTCTTGTTTGATAGATTTGGATGTTCATTTGGATTATTTTATCCACCAAATGAAGTAAAGCACTTTTAATATTTTGTAGGTTCATCTTTATAAGTTAGAGATTTTGAGATGCTTTGCTAATTGTATTTTTTGCCCCTAATTTATTATATACATTTT